CCCCCCCCCCCCCCCGTTATTCATGTTAGCAATGCATACCTCTGGTCAGATGTAATTGCTAAGGAGACTGTTGTTTACTGCACTGCACAATTTATAAAGGGGACTTCATGATAAGTTGCCTTCTAAGGGTATGCTTCTGCGGCAATGGTACACACATGACTTTCCCAGCTTCCATGCCAAGCTAAGTATATGCAGAAACTTCTAGTCAAGTGGTAGGGCTTTCTGGCCCCTTGCTTGCGTGATTAAATTGGCACATGGGGAGTTGAACATATCCAGAGAGCACCAAAGTATAGACAACCAGTACACACAGATCAGTGTAAAAGTTACTACATAAATATTGGAACAGAGCACATAATGAATGTCATAAGACTGATTCTGAATTAGAGAGGGACTATAGCATAATAATAAAATGTATGCTTTATATAGAGCCATAGACAGAGAAAGGCAATTGTTTTTGACACTAGAAAGTAATAGCTACTAATCAAAAGAGACAAGAGTTTAACCTGGAATAAAGCTGTGCTTATGTTCCTCAGTGAGCACAGCTTAATCAAGTCTTGGTCACTAGGAACTATTGTATATATTCAGCAACTACCATGACCTCAGACCATCTATTGTCTGTAACCTGTTGGCTTGTATACAGAAAAATCTGGATCTTTTATGGAAAGATCTTTCAGCTTTAGTTAAAAACAACCTCTGTGTCCAAGACCCTGAAAAGTTGTTGCCAAACTAGAGGATGACCAGCCAAAAACCTGAATGCTTTTAAAGCAGGTATATGATTTCATTATTCCCACATTATTGTAATCTCCAGTTTTTTGTTTTGTTTCTTCTGATATAGCTTGAATCAACAGCTATTCATTGGACGTGTCGAGGCGGAAATGTAGAAGTCCTGAAATTCCTGTTAAACAAAGGGATAAACAGAAATGCCAAAGACAAGGTATTTTATTATAGTGGTCCCAAAAATTGATTTGGGGAAGATGTGACTCTGGAACCTGCTTGTCTGAAGTTCTTTTCTCAATCCAAGTTTATTGTCTGCCATTATGGATTATGCTTTTTTCCACTTTTTCCTTTCTGCTAGTTGCTCAGCAGTCCTTTGCATGTGGCAGTAAGGACAGGCCAGTATGAATGTGGAGAACATCTCATTGCCTGTGAAGCAGATCTCAATGCCAAAGACAGAGTAAGTATGTTCTCTCCTTCCTTGGTAGAGAATGGAGTAGGTGGTTTTGGAATGCTCATCAGAAGGCAATATTGAGCAAGAAGGACCTGGTATATGGTGGCTTTCTATGCTGTAAAAGTGGGCCATTCAAAATGATTCAGATACAGAGGAGGAGAGGCCTGTGATGCTACTAAATAGTATCCCATGAGTACCATGAATAGAGATGACCATCAGCCAAGCATCACCACTTTCTACATATCATGCAAAGGCCACAGATTTTCAGTAACAGTCCTTAATGCTTTTCAGTGTAATAAACAACCATTTCCTTTCAAATTACTGGATTGCTATCTGAATGCAATAGTTTTGCAGTCTTCTCCCCTCCAATGATCCATAAGAATGACAAACATCTTTCATAGAAACTACAACTCTAAAAAAAGAAATCACCCACACATTATTTTTACAAGCTGCAAGGAATTGCTGGAGATCTGAATTCAGCAAGAATCCTTGTTAGAGGATGTGCTTCTGAACATCACCAGAGTATTGCATGATTGCTGAGAAATTAAGCTGCAGAAGGTCCCATTAAAAATATAGAATATGCTCATAATACAGTTGTCCTGGATACAGAATGTTAGCTGATTCAGCTATCAATGAATGCTAACAGACATTAATGATAGTTTCAGTAAAAGGATGATTTATTAAGAAATACGTGAGGATAGAAAAGTATCACTTCTACCTAAAATACATTTTGAAGAGAAGGAAATGAATAAGAGTGAATGAGAGAGAGACAGAAACAGGAAATGTCTTTTGTGTCTTAAACACAGAGACCCATTTAACTAACCATGGGCCAGATGAGAAAGAGGGTTAGCATGTGAAGACCCCTTTTCTCTGTCTCCCCATTTTCCCTAGTGGTAAAAAGTGCTCATAATTACAAAGAGATGATACAAACTCCAACAGGTGAGGTAAGAACTAGCATTTCCCAGGCTAAAGAGAATTACTATGTGAACATAGATCAACTGTCCTCCAAGTTCATCAAGAGCATGGCCAAGATACATTGATTTAGAAAGTTGGGAGGAAAAAGCCTATATTTTAACCCTGAAACACTGACCTATAGATAAGCTTTGACTTCAGTGTACTATAGTAGACAAGCCTTCTGGGTGTACAAGGCTTTATTCTCATCTTCAATAAAAAGACAATCTTGCTGAGTCATTTCAGTGAATCTGCTGAATATGGAGCTAAGTGTCTGAAAGTGAAGATGCACAGCCATATCTCTGTCTGCAGCCTGACCCCACCCCATATTCCCCCACAATTTTTAGTACACCTGTGACAGTTAAAAAAAACTAAGCTTGAGAACCAACTTGTTTTTCAAATTTAGAAAATATTCCCTTAGCTCTTTGTCTAGATGACATGCCATTAGTGAGTAACTTGTAATTTATGAAGCTGACCTTAGTTTTCACATAGCATTTAGCATTGTGATGCAGGTTAAGTAAGGGCATATCTACATCTACATACTTGTTCCCTCTCTATAGGAATTCTAGTTACTTAAGGAATGGCAGCTTTTTCTATAACAGGATAGCAACAGTGTTTAGGATCCCTTCTATCCAGCCGATTCAGTTCAGTGCCGTGATATCATATGTCTTTTCTAACAGCTCTTGGTTGCACCACGTTGGTATCATTTATTAAGAATTGTCAATATTATGCATGACAAGCCTCCGAGACCATCATATTCAATTTTCCTTCCTTCTTCTAGGAGGGTGATTCTCCTATGCATGATGCAGTGAGATTAAATCGATATAAAATGATTCGACTCCTGATTCTCTATGGTGCCAACCTGAATGTAAAGAACGCTGTAAGTAGCTGGTTATTCCATTTACAGTTTTCCCCCACGGAAGCCATGTTGAAATCAGACAATGTCATGCATAGAGTAGATGCATTGAAACCAATAGTATTTACAATAACTGTGATTCAGTTTAGTTTCATGGATTTTAATGTGTCTATTTTAAATATGACGGATCAAACCCACAAATTGCAAATTACATATCCAATTATATTCATTATTAACATACTGCAAAATGAATACATTGCAGCCCTTCTCAAAAAAAATTCTTCCTACTGTTTTTAAATATATTTTTCTGTTGATTTTTTTTTTCAAATGACTCTAATGCTATATTCAGAAAAGACAGAATCTAAAATAGGTTCTTTTAAAGATGGGATTAAGTACTATTTTGGGAAGGGAAGGAAACATCGGATAGAGTCCTACAAGAGCATGTGACCATTTGGCAGATCATATCTGATCTGGGGGGCAAAGAAACCTTTTGCCCAACGTTGTGAAGCTATTTGGATTCAGATCAGAAAAGGTGCTTCAGAGGGGATGTAGAAGTTTGCTTCCTCTGTTATCACCTCCTTAAAGAAGCTACTCTGTTTCCTGGTCTTGCATGGGAGCTGTGCATTCCCAGGAAAAATATATTTGTGGAAACACAAATAAGGTGCAATAGGTTCATTGTACGC